GTCGCCAGGATGTGGCTCTGCTGAGCTGTGCCTTGCAGCCAGCTGCCTACAAGGAGGGGCAGGCAGGGCAGACATGGGGCTGACCACAGGTCCCTTGAAACTCCCTGGTCCCAGCCAGGGCTCAGGGCCAGGGGCAGATGAGGAAGGTAGGGGAAGCTGCTGGGCTAGAGAAGAGAAGCTGACCAGCCTGACTGAGGAGTCACACTTCCTGCACCACCCCACACCCCCAGACGCTGCTGCTCAAACAACCCCAAATAAAAACTACCCCATAACTAAGGGCAGCGGAGACTCTGCATACCAATGACTGGCTTCTAAGTGCAGCCACACCCTTCCTCTGCAGCCAGAGCAGACCTCCCCAGCAGCCCCACAGGCCTCCCATGCCAGCTCTGGGGCTGGAGCAGGAGCCAAGGCCAGGGGCTCAAGTGACCACGGCTGTTTCCCGAGGAGCAGGTCACACCCAGAAGCCAGCAGAGATAATGCTGTGGGGTCACACACCATCTGCCCACAACAGTTTCATGCAGCCTGTCTGTGGGCTTGGGCATAGATGGAAGCCCTCAAAGACCATCCCAACCTTAGGCCAATAGGATGCATGTCCCCTTCCGGCACCACCCAGTGCCCCCAAACCCACCCTCCTAAGGAGGTCTCAGAACACCATGACCAGCCAGGCAGGAAGGCTCTTGTCTCCAACCTACATCCTCCACAGCTCTGGGTCCCCAAGCTCCCTGGCCCAGTGCCACAGTCTAAGCAGGGGCTGATGGAGCCTCTTGGGGGCCACGATTCATGGTCACAACAGTTTTAGTCTTTGTGATGAAAAAAGACAAACTGATCCCAACTCAAGCTGAACCCACAGCCTTTGCTTTCCCAAGAGCCCAGCCTCTAACCATTGATCCAGCAGGCCCAGGACGATGATCCTGGCCGCCATATTCCAGGCCTTACCACAGGGACCATTCATTTCACCCCTATCAGGATAAGGGAGAAGGTGGACAGGGGCTCCACATAACAGAGTTGTGCTCTCTCCTCCTTGTCCTGTAAAACACACAAAGACCAGCACTGCAGAGGGCAAAGACCAGGTCTCCCCAAGCAAAATGGTCTTATGGGAGATGCCCCGTCTTCTCCAAAACCTTTGCTGCTGCTGCTTCCTTCCCTCCCTCTCCTGATATATCTAGGTCTACTCCCTTGGGGGTGTGATCCACACCAACAGCATAAAGGCCAGAAAGGTCCAAATGACCCATCTGACCCCAAAGGGAACAAGAGCAACCAACCACCACCATCCCATCCCTGTCTTGGGAGGCAGGGAGGCAAACACAGGGCACCCACTGGGGAGTGCTAAGAAGAATGTGGGGCCAGGCCCAGTGGCTCATGCCTATAATCCCAACACTTTGGGAAGCCAAGGCGGGTGGATTACCTGAGGTCAGCAGTTCAAGACCAGCCTGGCCAACATGGCGAAACCCTGCCTCTACTAACAATACAAAAATTAGCCGGGTGTGGTGGTGCGTGTCTGTAATCCCAGGTACTCGGGAGGCTGAGGCAAGAATCGCTTGAACCTGGGAGGCGGAGATTGCAGTGAGCCAAGATCCCGCCACTGCACTCTAACTTGGGCAACAGAGTGAGATGCTGTCTCAAAAAAAAAAAAAAAAGAAGAAGAAAGAAAGAAAAAAGAAAAAAAATAAGGAAGTTGAAGGTGAAAACCAGAAAATAAATCGCTGAGAAGCATCTCAGGATTTCCAGACCCACGGGAACCATGGCGATCCCTGGACAGTTCTACTGAGGGAGGTGGAGATCATTAATTTTCTTGTGTACTGCCATTACATTTTGTTTTGAGAATCTCCTCTTCAATTATTTGGAAGCCTCTGATGAAATTCCTCATCTCAAAGACTGCCCCACTGACACAAGACCTTTGGAGGCTGCTGAGGCACCTACAAACCCAGCAACCATCATCACACAAAGCAGGGCCCCAGAGTCACCACTGCGCTCTCAATATTTTGAGAGCTTCTATGTATCCAGAACTATATTAGGGCTTTTACAGATGATGTCTTATTTAATCTGTACAGCTCTATGATTATTATCATTATCTTTGTAGAAGTGAGGAAGTGGGGTAAGTAACCTGTCTGCTGGTAAGTCACAGAACTGGGAGTGAAACCCCAGCCTCCAGGTTTTTAAGCCCTGGGCCGTCCTTCCTTCCCAACAGGGCAGGGCCAGCTCCAGGCAGGACTGCCAGGGAGGACAGCTATAGAGCTGCAGGCTTATCTGAGCCTGGCTTCAGGACTGCAGAGGCCTCTCAAGCCCAGCCCCGGTTCTTGACCCTCTAGCAGCAAATAGAACTCAGAGAGCTGCAAAGGGCCAGCTCGTTTTGTTGGGAACTCTCGTACTCTTATGTGTAATCCATCCTGAGGCTTTCCTAGGCTCTAAGTTCTGGACTCTCTCCCCCATCACATAAGAAGCTCTTCTAGGGCAGGGGAACTCCTCCACACTAGGGATAACAGACACTGTTACCAAAAGCTCCCTTCACCATCACTGCTCTGTACTGACCACCTACCATGTACAGGGACTGCACTAGGTACTTAAGTTGCATTTTCATTTCATCCCTCACATTAACCCTATGAAGGTGTAAATTATCTCCATTTTATAGATGTGAAAACTGAGGCACCAAGAGTTTACATGACTTGCCACCTATAAACACAGGTGGCAATTTTGAGACTGGGATCTGTCTAGTGCCACTCTACAGCCCCTTCCTAACCACGATGGTACTCTTCCCTACTCAGGTTCTCTCTTGGCAAAGGACCACCATCTGCCCTGCCTGAGACCACCAGAGCCAACTCCTGGAGTTAAGGAGTAGATACTGTTCTTTTCTACCATTATTCAAAGTGGAGGAGGGTACACCCTGGTCTTCTCTACCTTGCCCTCTCTACCAGGAAGCATTTAGACTCAGTCTCAGTAGCCCACATCAGGGTGCTCCAGAAAATACCACCAGGAATAGCCAGTAGAGCCAGAGGTGGGGACCACTGTGGGGGTGACAGCCCTCCTCCTATGTCAGTGGGCATGCTGTTAGGTCCAGTAAACTAAAGGACCAGGTCAACTTCACAGACTTTCCTCTGCCCACCCTAAGTGACCCTCCTTACTCCTGTTCCCTCCCGGTTCTATAAATAAATCAAGTCGATACATCAGAGAAAACAGCCAGGTGGGTGTGGAAAGATCCTGGTGGAAAAGATGATTTCTATAAAGTAAATTAAGGCTCCCATTCAGATCAAGGGGTGGTAAGTCAAATTCTCCAAGACAGACTGTTCTTGGCTGAAAATAGGACCACCTGGACCTACAGGCTTGGCCAGCTCAGCTAAGGAAGATCCAGAGGCCAAGAGGAAAGCAAGGGCAGGAACTGGAAAAAACAAAGAAGCTGCTCCCTGCAGGCCTGGAGCCTTTTTTTGGTCTGCCTCCTCCTGTTCCCCCAGCACCCCCGAACAGATGTGTCATCTACCAGTCTGGTCAGAGTAGCTGATTGGTGGAAGGTGAAGGACTAGGGGAAGGGGCAGAATGATTTGGGGGACAGGCACCTCTTCTGAAAAAGAATGGGGTAAGAGATCCAGGGGAGAGCTTTTCACCCCGTATACCCACCCCCTTGGGCTCCAGGAACCAGGAAGGAGGGAGAAGACAGAAAGGAGGAGGAAAAAAACAAAACAAGGGCCACGCTATACCACATGATCCCACACCCAGCCACCAAACAGCAAGTCATGAAGGAAGGAGGGGAGCAGGCCAGGGCATGGGGAGAGGGAGTCAGGTCACAGCCACGCCTGGAACTTGCCCTGCACTAACACCCTCCCCATCCCAGGCCACAGAGAGCCAGCCAAGAAGGCCATTCCACACCCACGTTTCGGAAAACATTCAAGGTCAGATCCTTTCTACCTAAATCCTGCTTTCATTTGGGTTTGCACCAGGTTCATCTCCCTCCTCCAGCAAGCCTTCCTGGATTTATTTGCTCAGTGGATCCCATGTCACTGGGGCTAAACCTTTCCGGCACCTCTACAGACCTAAGGCACAGTCCTGCCCCAATCCCCTTATCCTCCTACCCAGGTCACTCTGAAGTTAACCATTTGACTGATCCCACAGCAGGCTGTCAGCCCTGGAGACTGGCTTCCAACTCCTGCCCAAGCCCAAAACAGGAAATGGGGCTCCAAGGCTGAAGCTTTGATCTTGACACAGGCAAGGGTAAATGCTGCCAAAATAAATGATTAAAAAACCCACTGGCCTATTGAGGTGGAGTGACCAGGAGATAATCTCCCGCTGTGCATTAACCATGCAGTTGCCTCTACCTCAGGCAGGACAGGGCAGGCAGGCAGGCAGGCTACTGGAAAGCTGACTCAAGCGTTTCCTGCCTTTACTTAGGAGCTCCTCCAGTCCCCAGACCAGGGACACAAGACACAGAGGGACAGGATCCGGGGGCGGGGGGCAACTCTAGATAGTGGAGGGCATCTTGAGACCCAGGCAACAGGCAGATGCCCTCAGCAGCCAGCTTCTATCTTTAGTGGGGAAATCAACATTCAACCTCACCCTGGAGGAAGACACCTGGACTTCCTTCCCCCGCAGGGCAAGGCTATTCCTCTCCACTCCCCTGAGGGACAGGTGCCCGCAGTTCTCCTCCCCTTTGAGGAAAGGGAAGCAGGCCCGGAGATTCTAAGAATGGTCCCAAGATTTCTCTTCTTGAGGTTTCCACAGCCCCGAAGCCTCTGGATCTCATTCCTAACTTGACTTGACAATCTACTCCTAACGTTCGCCACCACTTAAACCTCCCCCAGTCCTCCCAGGGACCTGCCAGTGGCCGAGCCCCTCACAGCACACGTTCGGGGAGCCTGAAGGCAACCACGAAATGCGAAGAAGCAACGTGTCTGTCGGTTTACGCCCTTGAGCGCGAGGCGAGGGGCTCGCCGGCCAAGCCGAACTTCAGGGGTCCTGATCCCCCGACCGGTTAGGCCTTTAGCCGTTTCTGTGCCCCTGCGCCCCCCACTCACTGCGTGTGCTGGGCGCGGCCTGCGCCGAAGACCTCGTCCAGCGCCACCGTAGCCTGGCCCAGGAACTTGTCGACGCCGATGAGTGAGCGGTGCATGGTGGTGAGCACCAGCTCGCAGGCGGCGGCGGAGCCCGCGACCCAGGGCGCCTGGCCCGCGTCGGCCTCCTGCGCCCGCAGCAGGCCATCCAGGGCGCCGGGTGGCAGCTCGAAGGAGCACTCCTCACGCCACTCTGGGCAGCCGTGCGTCTTCTCCACCACCGACGTGCTGTACTTCTCGCGGCCCACCTGGATCACCGTGTACGCGTCGCTGGTGCTGCCCGCGCCCGAGCTCTTGCCCCTCAGCCCGCGGGCCCGCAGCACAGTCACCTGGACATGCGTGGGAAGCCAGCGGGAAGGCCCCGCTGCCGGCTCCGCGCCCCGCACCAGGGCCATGGCGGGGAAGCGGCGGGCGAGGGCCGGCGGAGCCGGTGCAGACCCCGGGACCTGGAGACAAACTCGGCCGCGGCGGAGGGCGGTCTGGAGCCGGCTCCGAGCGCCGCCGCCGCTGCGGGCTGGGCCGGGCCGACCGGCCACCGCCTCCCCGCCCCGCCCCGCCGGGCCGCGGGCCGCGCCGCGACGTCAGCGCCCCGCCCCCTGCCCCGCCCCGCGCCCGCCGCCCCGACCCGCGTGGCGCTGCGACAGGGCTGCGGGTACGCCGCTTGCGCCCCTGCAGCCGCAGACCCGCCCGAAGCGGGACGGGGCGGCGCGCGGCCTCTGCAGAGGGTAGGCGGAGCTCTCGCGGTGGCCCCGCCCCTGGCTGGGGGGCGCCTGAAGCGATCGCGCCTTCCCGGTAGGGAGCCCGATACCCGCGGCCAGTACAAAAAACCCGCTCTGCGCCTCCAGGCCAATCCCGCGTCTTCCTTCTAGAAGTCCTTGCTCTGGAAAGCCCTTGTCCTAAAAGGATCCCGACCCGCCCCTCCCGGGATGGCCATCCTCTTGGCGCGGACTTAGGGTGATGGGGACCCCTGCCGCTCCCCGACCCCGGGCCGCGATCTCCCCTCCTCCAGCCCGCCCCTGTCCTGGAAAATGCCCGAGTGAAACCGGAGCGACTACCGCCCGGCCACGTGACCGTCCCGCATCGGCGACCTGGAAGCCGGTGAGCTGCCGCCGCCTCCAACCTCCCTGCGCAGTGGGCCTGCATGCGGCCAGGCCGCCGCGCGGGAGGCCAGAGAGCGGGGCTTACCCTCCTCGAACTCTGCGGCGGAGAGCCGAGTGATGAATAAATGAGTAACCACATCAATATTTAAGTGTTACTCGGAGCCTTGGGGCCAGTGTGTCATGGGTTGGGGGTGAAATTATAAGGCCTTGGTGAGGGGTTAAATAACTACTTTATTTAAATAACTTTCACCCAATATTAAGTGCCTACTATGTGCCAGGGCTCTGGTATTACCTGCATATTTGGTTTATTATTAATAATAACAATGTTTAGTAATTATAGATGCTGAATTTCAGCCAACTCTGGTCTATGTGCTTTAATATGCATTACCTCATTTTATCCTCAGAGCAACTCCGTGGGGGGAGTATGGTTTTTATCCCTATTCTCCAGAAGATAAAATTTCAGCTTAGATGGGGAAGGGATGTGAATCCCCTAGATGCCCCCAAAGCCTATACCAAAAAGCAAAAACAGAAAACAAACCTGTTCTTTTAAAATAGTAATTTTAAAATAATACACACAGCCTTTTTAAAAAATCAAATACAAAATCAAAATCAAAAAAATCATATTTTTAAAAAAATCAAATCAAAAAATCAAATAGGACAGAAGAGCTTCCAATGAAAAGCAAGAACTCCCTCTCCATCCTTCCAATCCAGGGATACTGCTTAAAGCCACTGATGTTTTCAGGTCTAATAGTTACCTCCACATCACTACATAACATACTCACATAGCTACGTCTGGATTTATCAGGACTGGCCACTGTCTATTGCCTTAACACACACTTCCATACCTCGGTCTTTTGTAGTTATGCTATTATTTTTAGTTCCTCTATACCAGGGGTCCCCAACCCTTGGGCCACAGACTGGTAGCTCTCCATGACTTTTTGGGAACTGGGCAGCACAGTAGGAGGTGAGTGGTGGGGCTAGCTGGTGAAACTTCATCTGTATTTACAGCCACGTTACAGCCACATCCTATCGTCCTATCACATTACTGCCTGAGCTCCACCTCCTATGGCATTAGATTCTCCTAGGGAGTGCAACCCCTATTGTGAACTGCCCATGCAAGGGATCTAGGTTGCACATTCCTTATGAGAATTCTAATGCCTGATGATCTGTCACTGTCTCCCATCCCCAGATGAGACCACCTGGTTGCAGGAAATCAAGCTCAGAGCTCCCACTGATTCTACATTATGGTGAGCTGTATTACTTCATTATATATTACAATGTAATAAGAGAAATAAAATGCACAGTAAACATAAAGCACTTGAATCATCCTGAAACCATCCCTGCCACCCCGTCCATGGAAACTGGTCCCTGGTGCCAAAAAGGTTAGGAAGCACTGCTCTATGGGATACCTAACAGGAGAAACAGGTAATCCTTAGAGAGACTCCATGGCACCCTTGACTGTCCACCTTCCAGGCCATGCCCTCTACCAGGAATATGAACCCAGGAAAACAATAGAGCAGGCAGAGGAGACCCATGAGAGCACATCCAGCATAGACCCAGTCCTCACAGCCTCCCACCTTAACTCTTCCATCAGAAGACTGGTGTGGGGAAGTCCTAAGCACCAGTCCCATGGTCCAGCATTCCTGACGATAGCACCTAGCTTTGGAGACAGCCAGATCCGCCTACAGATCTTGGCTGTCTGCCTCTTAGTAGGTATGAAACCCAAAGTTTAAGCCAACTTTCTAACCTCTCTTGGCCTTATTTTTTCATCTGGACAATGGGGATAATGATTCTTACCTTAGGCCAGGCACAGTGGCTCACACCTGTAATCCCAGCACTTTGGGAGGCCGAGGCTGGTGGATCACTTGAAGCGGGAGTTCAAGACCAGCCTGGGCAACATGATGAAACCCTATCTCTACTAAAAAGACCAAAAAAAATACGTACCTGGGTGTGGTGGCGGGCACCTGCAGTCCCAGCTACTCTGGAGGCTGAGGCACAAGGATCGCTTGAATCTGGGAGGCGGAGGTTGCAATGAGCCAAGACTGAGCCCTACGTTCCAGCCTGGGCAACTGAGCAAGAATCTGTCTCAAAAAAATAAAAAATGAGGATGGATGCAGTGGCTCATGCCTGTAATTCCAGCACTTCGGGAGGCCAAGGCAGGTGGATCGCTTGAGGTCAGGAATTTGAGATCAGGCTGGCTGGGAGTAGTGGCTCACACCTGTAATCCAAGCACTTTGGAGGCCAAGGCGGGCGGATCACCTGAGGTCGGGAGTTCAAGACCTGCCTGACCAATATTAAGACAGGTGAAACCCTGTCTTAAAAAATAAATAAATAAATAAATAAATAAATAAATAAAAAAGAAGAAGAAGAAGAAGAAATGAGAACAGCCTGACCAACATGGTGAAACCCTGTATCTACTAAAAATATAAAAATTAGCTGGGTGTGGTGCGGCACACCTGTAATCATAGCTACTCAGGAGGCTGAGGCATGAGAATCACTTGAACCCCAAAGGCAGAGGTTGCAGTGAGCCAAGATCATACCACTGCACTCCAGTCTGTGCAACAGTGAGACTCTGTCTCAAAAAAAGAAAAAATGAAAATAAATCATAATCCAACCATACAGAAACAAACACTCTTAATAATTTGTTGTATTTCTTTCCAGTCTTTATACTATGTGTGTTTGTTTTTATGGTTGTGAGACACCTACAGTATAACTATTAAATCTGTGGGCTTTGGAGTCCTGGTTCTACCCTTTTTTTTTTTTTTTTTGAGACCAAGTCTTGCTCTGTCTCCAGGCGCCAGGCTGGAGTGCAGTGGCACAATCTCAGCTCACTGCAATCTCCGCCACCTGGGTTCAAGCAATTCTCCTGCCTCAGCCTCCCGAGTAGCTGGGGAATACAGGTGCGCGTCACCATGCCCAGGTAATTTTTGTATTTTTTTTTTTCAAGATGGGGTTTCACCATATTGGTCATGCTAGTCTTGAACCCCTGACCTCAGGTGACCCACCCACCTTGGCCTCCAAAGTGCTTGGATTACAGGCGTGAGCCACCACGTCCGGCCAGTTTTTGTATTTTTTAGTAGAAACAGGGTTTCATCATGTTGGCCAGGACAGTCTCGATCTCTTAACCTCGTGATTTGCCCACCTCGGCCTCCCAAAGTGCTGGGATTACAAGCGTGAGCCACCGCTCCTGGCTCTACCATTTACTTTATATATATTATCACTCTTGGCTATGAGTCTGTATACTAAAGAAAAATTACATACACACACACACACACACACACACACACACACACACACAGACACACACAATCACATTTACCCTTGAAGATAACCATTTAAAGCAAGGGCTATTGCCACCCTCATTTTCACTGATGAGGAAATGGAAGCAGAAAGAGCTTAGGTGATTTTCCCCAAGTCTCCAACTGGAAAATTGCAGAGACTGAGTGACTCTACTGCCTGTGGCACTCTACTTTCACACCAGCTTTTTAGTCGTCCAAGCACTAGATCCATTTAAAGTTAAAAAAGTAGGAAATGTTCTCATACCCATTTTACAGATGAAGACTGAAGTAACCAAGGTTACAAGAGTCAGGATGAACCCCCAACTTTAATAGTGAATTCCTCGGCTGGGCGCGGTGGCTCAAGCCTGTAATCCCAGCACTTTGGGAGGCCAAGGCAGGTGGATCACAAGGTCAGGAGTTTCAGACCAGCCTGGCCAATATGGTAAAACCCCATCTCAAAAATAAAAATAAAAATAAAAAGAGTGAATTCCTCGAGGGCTTTGCAAGTGAGGATATCATCACTAAACTTCAGCTAACATAAATGGGTCACTCCTTTAGCGGTTGTCTTTCATGTGTTTGCCTGCTTTCCAACATGACTGCTCCTCCCTCCTCCCTCCATCCCTCCTCCGCCAAGGAGGAGCAAAGCACCAGGAAAGGGGGAAACGGTGGGGAGAACTCAGACGGCTCTTCTGCCTCACCTGCCCTCTGGCTCTCTTTCCTCCTGCCTTGGCCCTTGTAGATTGGCAAGCTCAAGCTTCCTGCTGGCTGTGGACTGTGGCTTGCTATAGGAGGGCAGGGAAGCCAGCCAAGGCTCCCACGCCAGGTTGCCTGGCCCTAGAAGGAAAAGGTGGGTCTGCTAGCTGTCTGTGGCTGAGAAAAGAGCAGAAACACCAGATACCGAGGTCTTGGCCATCTAAAGGTGTGTTTCCTCCTCTAGAAGATGAGACCCTCCTCCAAGTCACTGCAGCAGCCTGCATAAGAGTTAGACAAGAAGATGGCCGAACCATCAGTTTCCTCTGCCTCCCCAAGGGCTGGGTGTCCTCACTGCCTTCCTGGGCCTCTCCAGTCCATTGGAGGCAGTTCTTGCTTGAAAAGCACCCTCCTATGTGTAACTTCCACTCGTTGCTCCCTCTTCAATATCCCTAAGCCCATTTGCTTTCCCATGGAGACACTTCAACATATTTTGTCCTGCTCTTCCAGCTACATTTCCCTCTGTTCT